ATTATGGTGGTCATCAATCTGATTACAAGAGGGGGCCAATTCAGGTACCCTCTCCTTCACTTCTGGGAATCTTAGCTGGGGTCTTCCTTGTGGATTCCTGGGAGTTTGCCTAGCACAAAATTTCTCCCTAATCCCACAATGGCTCCTCTTATCTTTTCTTGCTCTTCCTCTTTGTTCCTACCCCAATTCAACCATCCCATTGTTCCCTCATGTTCTCCTTTCCCCCTCATTCACTCTCCCTCTCCTACCTCCAGTGCTCCCAATTTACTCAGGAGATATTATCTATTTCCCCTTCCCAGGGGCATCCATGCATGTCTTTCTTATGGTCCTCCTTGGTCCCTAGTCTCTCAGGGGTTATGCATTGTAGCAGGTTGTCTTTTTTTTTTTTACATCTAATACCCTCTTACAAGTGAGTACATACCACGTTTGTCTTTCTGGGTCTAGGTTATCTCACTCGGGATTTTTTTCTAGTTCCATTCAATTGTCTGCAAATTTCATGATGTCATTGGGTTTTATTGCCAACTAATACAACATTGTGTAAATGTATCTCATTTTCTTTAGCCATTCTTCAGCTGAGGGGAATCTAGGTTGTTTCCATTTTCTGGTTATTACAAATAATGCTACTTCCGGGTATTGGTGGTGTATGCAATTAATCCCAGCGCTTAGGAGGCAGAGGCAGACAGATCTCTGTGAGTTCCAGGCCAGTCTGGTCTACAGAGCAAGTTCCAGGACAGCCTCCAAAACAATATACAGAGAAACCCTGTCTCGAAAAAACAAACAAAACAAGACAAACAAACAAAAAACCCAAATAATGCTACTATGATCATATTTGAGCAAATGTCCTTGTGGTATGAGTGTTCATCCTTTAGTTATATGCTCAAGAATGATATAACTGGGTCTTGATGTAGATTGATTCCCAATTTTTTCAGAAACCACATACTGATTTCCAAAGTGGCTGTATAAATTTTCACTCCCCAGTAGTGGAGGATTATTCCCCTTACTCCACATCCTCTCCAGCATAGGCTGTCATCAGTGGTTTTGATCTTGGCCATTCTCACAGTTGTAGGATAGTACCAGTCATTTTGATTTGTATTTCTCTGATGGCTTGAAGAAGATACCAGAACTCTGATGCTCTTGGATAGGTAAGATCATCAAAGTAAAAATGTCATTATTAACAAAAGCAATCTACATATTCAATGTAATTTCTATCAAAATCCTATCACAATTCACAGGTCTTGAAATAATAATACTCAAATTCATATGGAAAAAAACAAGAATAGCCAAAACAATGCTGTACAATAAAGAAACCTCCAGAGGCATTGCCATCCCTGACTTAAAGCTATACTATAGAACTCTAGTAATAAAAACAGGTAGGCATTGGCATGAAAACATACATGTAGATCAATGGAATTGAACCTAAGATCCTGACATTAATTCACACACCCATGAGCACCTGCACCTGACAAAGAAGCCTAAATTGTGCAGTAGAAAAAAGAAAGCATATTCAACAAACGGTGCTGGCATAACTGGATGTTAACATGCAGAAGATTGCAAATAGATCCATATCTATAGCCATGCACAAAACTCCAGTCCAAGTGGGTCAAAGACCTCAACATAAATCTAATTACACTGAACTTTACAGAAGAGAAGGTGGGAAGTAGCCTTGAACACATGGGTATAGGAGACTACTTTTTAAATATAACACCAGTAGCACAGACACTGAGATCAACAATTAATAAATGGAAGCACCTGAAACTGAGAAGCTTCTGTAAGGCACAGGACACAGTTAATAAGACAAAATGGCAGAAAAGCAGCCTACAGAACAGGAAAAGTTCTTCACCAACCCCACATCTGACTGAGAGCTGATCTCCAAAATATATAAAGAACTCAAGAAACTAGGCACCCAAATACCAAATAATCCAATTAAAAATGGGGTACAGATCTAAACAGAGAATTCCCAACAGATGAATTTAAAATAGCCACATTTAATGACTAATTCTTAAGCTCCTCAAGATGGTCATTGCCCCTTCATTGCTACGAAATAAAGAAATAGATGCTCTCACAGTAGATGTCTGCACACACTGACTGAAAAGACTTCAGATTTGCAATGCCTTGTTTAGGAAATAAGGGAAATGCTAAATGTTTTACATGCCGTCTACTCCAATAGGGTTGTTTTATTCTATCCACCCACAGGAACTTTCTACAGCTTTATTAAACTAGACTCCTAAAAGTTGTTCCACAAATGAGGCGTCACTTGTCTCTCCCTTGAAATCCAGCTGTGCTTACGGGAACCAGAGACCTTAAGGTTCAAGGATTTTGACCTTCTGCTTTCTAGACGCAGTGTGTGGACCACCCACTCTGTGAAGTGTCCATAAAACATTTTCTCTTGAAATCACATTTTAAATCTCTTAAGTCTCAGTGTTTTCCTAGGACGTCTGTCCTCTTTCCACTGCACAGACTCTCATCAGGTGACATCATCGACTGCCTCGACTTCTATTATGTTGTTTGATCATCTGCACAATGATGACACTTAAAATCTTGGCTGTATCCTGAGCTAAGCTAAACATCTGAACATCTGCACATCATTTAAACATATTTCACCACCAGGTGTCCTGGCCAGAAATCTGAATGATATCTATGACCCCTCTCCCCATCTTTAATCAATTAACTCTCAGATTCCTCTCCTATCTGTGCAGTTTGGTCTCCAGTATTGATTCTGTGAATGTCCTAGCCATTCCTCCTGCACCCAGTCTTTTCAAATTATAACCAATTTCCGTACTGTTGCCAAAAGGCAAATCATACTCTTTCTCATTCAAAACTCTTACCTGTTTTCCTTGCCTTCTGGATGGGGTGTGTCTTATAACTACCCTTATGATTTGGCTATTAAGTTCTACATGCAGTAAATAAAGAAAAGCTATGCATATAGTTTTAGTTTTCTCTGGTGACTTTCTTCTTGAATATCTCAATTGCATTTAGATTTTTTGTCATACATGGGAATTAAAAAAATAATAGAACTTTATGATTTTATCTTAACTTCTGTAACTTCCTTCTAACCTAACACCTTCCCGCATTAACCTTGCCCACTTCTTATATCTTCTACCATTATATTTGTGGCTCCTGGGGCTCTAGGTAGATCCAGGGAAAGAGACCCTGTCTGCCTGTCTCTTTCACAGGTTAGACATGTGACTTTGGAACACCTATGAGTGAAGTCAGATGAGTTTCAGCTGGAACAACCACCCTTTTTCCATTCCCTACTTTTTTTTAAATTTCCATTTCCCTGACTCTACTAAAACCTTCAACCCTCCCAAAACTCCCCCACTCCTGAGCAAATTGGAGTTGGGTTTGGACTCTTTTACTTGCAGCAGCTGGATCTTGGTTAAGATCTGTCCATACCTTTTGTTTAGTGAATGACTTGACCCATCTTCCACTGTGCATTCAGTGAGATCCATTCTTTTGTTTTTTTTTTTTTCGAGACAGGGTTTCTCTGTGTAGTTTTGGAGGCTGTCCTGGCACTCGCTCTGTAGACCAGGCTGGCCTCGAACTCACAGAGATCCGCCTGCCTCTGCCTCCCGAGTGAGATCCATTCTTACATCCTGGTGCATGTGATTCTTGAGAAGCATGTGTGACTAAGAGGACATTGTTGCAGGAGAACATCATTCAGATAAACATATTATTGGTGACATGTTTTAAAGAGATAAAATGACTAATGAGGAAAATATTTTAAATCCTCAGTTGAATCTTTCTGAACCTTCATTTCAGGATGCAGATTTTTAAATAAGAAATATCCAGATCCTGTAAACTTTATCTTTTGCTTTCTTGCTTTCTGCTTAAAACCTCACTATTTTCTCAGCTGTTTTAATTTGGACTTGTAGGGTTCCCAATAATATTTTCAGAGTTGAGGTTCTGGAGGAACACTGGGATCTTCAGCTATTGGACCAATAGGCTAATCTATTGATGAAGCCACAGTAGAATGGCTTATCCGAATGTAGTGGAAGCTATAATGCTGGGCCTGGGTGGAAGAAGTGGGTAACCAGAAGGTATATCTTGTTCCTGCCTCTCTCTCTATGCTTCTAAGCCTTCGTGAAGTAAGTGCGCTCTTATCTGGTACTTCCTCTGCCATGGCAATCTGTTTTGCCATAGGCCAGCAGCAAAAGAGCGAGTAGAGCATGCTCTGAAACCTCCAAAAACATGGGCCAAAAAACTTAGTCTCTTTTAAGCTGACTATACTCAGTTATTTTTTTCACACCCATGAACAGCAATTAATAGTGAACCTTTAATTTATTTCCATCCATAAAAATAGTTCTTACTAAAATTAGTTTCCTCATACAAAAAACAATAGTGAAAGACAATTTATTATATCACTTATAATTTTGTTATTTATATTTATGAACATTACTTAAGAAGTTGGAAATTGCTTGTTTATTTCTTAGTTATTTTCTAGTCTTTAGCAATATTTAGCAATTGTTTCTTTTATAGCTATACGAAGAATTTTGTAATTTAGCCTTAACTCATTAAAATCCACCAAAATTTTCATTAAGATAAATAAGATAAAAGATAGCAGATATGGTCAATATATTGACTGAGATCTATTCATTTCTAATCAACATATAGCATATTCCAAAAGTAAGCAAGCATCAGATTTAAACTGAATAATCTCAATGTGGCTTAATAATTACGTAAATGATCAGTGATTTTCCTTGGATGTGCTCAGAGGTCATGCATTTCACAATTCATTATTTTGTTTTGTTCTAGTAACAGTCATGTTTTAATAGTAACAGTGATATAATTCTACCAGAGCAGTAGTAAGGAGAACATTTATTCCTATTGCAGAGTTTACATTTGCATGCTAATGCTACGCAGTTAACTTCTGACTAACTGCGTATCTTAGCAAATGCGGGCAATTGTAATGTTTAACAATCCAAAAGATGAGATGCTACTATAAAAATAGAGGTAGAAAATCCCAGCAAAGGTTAAGAAAATTTTAAATATTTGAGTCAGGCAATATTTAATATATAAAACAATAATTTTAATAAGTACATATAAGGTAACATAAACCCAAGATACTGACCTGATCAAAATGTATCAGAGTCCATGACCACAAGACAACTTTGCCTGAATTTCTGTTCTCTGACTATAGACAGATACATACCCTCATTACATGAGTGCTTGTTTATTTTTTATATTAGAAAAATAACATTTCTTTAGAGATTACATACAGTACATCAAATTGAGACCATATGTAAGGAGTAAGTCAGCTACAGTCTCCTTAAGGACCACTTGAAACATCCTTTGCCTGTTTCACAGACAGACCTGTAGAAGAGAAAACAAATAAAATACATTCAACAATGCAGTGATAGAGCTGAATATCAAAAGGAGAGGGTGGGACTTTAATGCTTCCCTGTACTGTACGAACTTTTTCCATGTCTGTGATCTTGGCACATATTGATCTTACCTATGTTAACAATGTTTTTAATAGTATCTAGAATTTTGGTATCTTCATGAAATCCTAATCAGAATGTTATTGTTCTGCTTCATGTTGTAATAATATCTGATATTTGTGGCTAACTAAATAACTACAAATATTTTTGAAAAAGATTTTCAATATTCACACTGTGCAAGAGCTTGAAAGAATACTTTGCATACAGCAAATTGCTCAATAAAGATTTACTCAATGAGAGAGAGGGCATGAAGGGAGGAAAGAAGGGAGAAAACAGGAAGAGGGAACTCCATTTTTGCATATTTCTTCTTTATCCACAACTAATTATTTACTTCAATCAGCCCCAGCTAACTCATTTATTGAATTGATTCTTATCACCCTTGAATATAACTCTCTCCAGGTTCTTGATTAAAATAATCAGGTGCATGCACTTATCCTAATGATGCTTAGTAGTTAGAATTTTGTCAAGATGATTGTCCACTGTGTGTCCTTTCCATGCTTTGTTCTACTTAAGATCTTCGTTGGTAAACTATACTATTTGCCATGCCACCACAACTATTGTGTGCTAGTTTCTGGTATTTTTTCAAATCTATGTAATAGATATGAATGACCAGAAAGACAGTGTTTTTAGTAGCTCTTGAATTGAAGAGCAGCATACTTATATGCTATGCAAAGAACATTTTAAAAACAACTGGGCCAGGATAGTTGCAGACCAAATAGTAGAGTCATTCTGTGGAAGAAAGTTACAAATAGACATAACCACATAGGAGAGATCTGGGAGGGCTCAGAGCTCAAAGCAAGAAAATACAGAATTTTTAAACCACATTTTCATACAAAAGGTTTTAGGGATTTTTATAATTTATATTATATCTATTCTTTATGGAAATATAGAGAAACAAATAACCATACTACAAAAATGGAATCATCAATGACATTTAGTTTATGACCTTCTAGTCTATATCAATAAATATGAATTTATTGCATATGTGCCTGTGTCTTATACATAACAAAACTTAGTTTATATTTAATTTCTTTCTTATGACTTGACATTTTTAATAAAAATATTGGGGAAAAACTTGCACATAAGAATCAGAAGACTCAGAATGTGTGTATATATATATGTGTGTGTGTATGAATATGTTCAATTAATATATATCTGATGCTTCCTAATGAATCACAGTTCTCTAGTATATAAAGTGTATAATTTTAAAATTAACTTCTCTTGTTGGAAACCAGATTGTTCTACTTTTATATGCTTTCCACATCTACTATAAAACCACTTCCATGTTTTATAGTATAACATTTTCATGTTTTATTTAAAACATATGGAGATGAACATATTATTGTGATAGCTATATAAAACACATTGAAAAGATTTTCTTCAAGTGATTTCCTAATATGGAATTCATAGGTCAATGAATGGCTAGGCCAGAACAAAACCAAATGAGCAATGATTTGGAGACAGAGAGCTCCCTTTTCTAGGTTTCACAGTGACTCTGGATGGCCACATGCTAAGTGGTATTAAGAGAAGAGGTCATCCATGGGTGAGGAGAGGGGTAGAATATTCCAAATTTCTAGTTTTGATATTTTGTGACTCACTGGATACCAAAGAAAACCACAACTCAATTGCTTCTTTCTGAGATATATGGAAAGAAGATATTTCTGAATTTTTCTATCTTCTTTTAAAATCTGGTATGTTTGGATAGCTTTGTAGATGCAATGTTTGCTGTTCTGAGATGACAAAACTCCAGGAGATTATCAATAACATCACAGAGTCTAGCACAGTTGGGAAGGGGAAGTATGTTTTCAGGTCGTGTCTGTCTAGATTCTATAAGTTATTGGTTGATCCAAGGACAAAGAATGGGAGGGAGGGAGAGGGAAGGCAAGGGAGAGGAAAGCAAGGGAAGAAAGGGGGAGGGGAGGGGAGGAGAGGAGAGGGGAGAAGACAGGAGAGGAGGGAAGGGAAGGGGAATGGAGGGGAGGAGAGGGGAGTAGACAGGAGAGGAGAGGACTGAAAGGAAGGGACAGAGGGAAGGGGAGGGGAGTGGAGGAGAGGGAAGGGAAAAGGGAAGGGATGGAAGGGAAGGGAAGGGAATGCAACGCAAGGCAACGCAATGGAAGGAAGATAATATTGGGTACTTGACACAGACATTTTTCTCATGAAGTCATGAGAAATGTATTTTAAACCATCTGAACTATGAACATTTGCAGAGAATACTACAATTACCTGCTGTTGGTATTAAGTGCCCTGAGCAAACATACCGGAGTAGATCAGGGTAGGACAAGAAGTGCACGGGACACAAAGAAGATCAGCAGAACCTGTACAATTGGAAGAAAAGAGATAATGCACTGGATCTAGACCAAAATACAATTTTCTGTTGTCTTCACCCATCCCTTGAGAAAACTAATCACAATTAATATCAAACTTGCACCTGCAGTATGCGCAGAATGATAGCTGTATGTTAGCTGTTTGTCAGTGTGTAGCTTTTTGTTCTTTAATCCATTCACTTTCAATTTTAAAGTTGTGTTCATTTTTAAATAAAATATAAAGGAAAATGCCTCCTTAGGTCATATTCTTGAAAGAGATGTAAACACTATATTGCATCTATATTGCAGTTACAGTTCTAAGGCTCACTGTGAGTTAGACAGAAGAACTGCATAACTATGTATATCATATCATTATACTACAAAATGTACAAAACGTCATTGTCTTGAAGCTAGAGATTTACATGTATAAACATATACACCATATTTATAACAAAAGGTACATAATATTGCATGCCCAATGGAATTTTACTAAATGAAGTCAGGAGGCAGAAGGGCAGACTGAGTTAATATCCAAAGGAAAAACAAGGTAGTGCCTGTTGGGATGATGGGCATGATTTTTTTATTTCAAAAAAGTATGTGTGGTGGGGGAGAAAATGAAGGAAAAGCTGTTGATAAAAGTAAATCAAAGAAGATAAATCCACATGTCTTTACGAGAAATAAAGTAGAAAAAATTACAACAACTACAACAACAAAAAACCCAAGTCCTAACCCTACTCATATCCAGGAATGGTTGTCCTAGAATTAATATAGATGATCTACCAATCAATTTGTTCATTGCTCTATGAGTTTGGACAGCGTTATACTATATCTGCTTTTTGGAGAATCAAAATACCCAACTGTGTATTAAATTCCTTAGACATGTCACAGTAAAAGGATTAAATTAAAATTCATCAAAACTATTTTTTCAAGGAACATTATTTATAAAGAATTCTATTAAGGGCTATGGTGATATGTCAATGGGTAAAGTGCTTGCTGTACTATAATGAGGTCCAGAGTTTGGACCCTCAGCACCAATGTAAATTGCCAAATGGACATAATGGCCCAGCCACAATCCCAGTCTAGTGTATGCAACATAAAGAAGGGAGATTCCTGGAGTAAGCTGGCTTTAGCTGAATACATGAATTCTGGACTGGAGTGAGAGGCTTTGCCTCAATAAATAAGGTGGAATATAACTGCAAAAGACTTTACCCTTAGAATTCCTCCCACAGACCCATATAAACACACCTACCCATACATGCATGTGCATCCACACACATACTCATCAGAAATATCTATATGTAAAATAAAAGTAATTTTATTACATATCCCTTGTCAAAGGCTGCTTCAACTAGAGTGCAGAAAGCATTGACATTCTGTCATTTCACATAATTCATTAGTTCACGTGGAAAAGCATGGATTTATTTTCATAAGACTATATTTCAAATCTCCTCTTGTGTGTGATCATAAGCAAGTTAACATTCTCATCATTTGCAAAGGACAGCAATAAGCAAAACACCTCTGGAGTCTCACTAAGAATGGGTGTGTAGCATTTTTATATTTTTCAAACTTATTCAATTTGGAGGTATAAAAGAAATTTGGACAGAAAATGGGAGTTATATCAGAAGTGGATAATGGGTACTTTTGAAGAATGTGTTATATTTGTATAAATGTTCTACATTGTAGGTTTTAGATAAAACCATGATGCATTCAGGTGTGAGTGCTCTTTAGAGCCCATGATGTTAATTGTCAATGCACAGGCATCTATTAGATAAATATTTCATGAATATTTATAATTTAAAATAGGATTATAAAGACTTATGTTTTTCCTGATAGAATTTTTAAAAGATAAAAGCTACAACTGAGTTATCTTCAAATGGTAAAACTTTAAAAAATCATTTTAATTACTAACATTGGATAATTCCCTGTGTTGTAGTATAAATGAGAGCATCACATATAATTTATATCTCAGAATACAAAGAAAAGCCACATCTTCACTCTGAACAATGTTTAAATATACTAAAGATGATATACAGTTCTGAGATATTTAGTCAACATTTCAAAACAAATCATTTTGAAGGAATTTGGCAGCATGTTTTGAACAGTTGTTCTACTTTTAATAGCTTACATTGAGACTGAAGACATGCCTGATGTAATTACGAAGCAATATTTATTTTATTCTGTCAAGTACCTAATTTTTATGTTTATCATATATGCCTCCCTTAATTTTCTAGATGACTTTGCTCATAGATAATAATTTGGATCACAATATAAATATAATGTAGTCAAGTTGAAGTTTCTATTAAAACCAGATTTGTTGCCCAAATGTATTAGTGTCTCTGTGTCTTTCTCTGTTGGTTTCCTTATTCTCATGTGCTTTTCCTATGCTACACAGTACATGGTGGAGGGATTCTTCCCTTTACGCTGTGTATATTTGTATTTCTTTCACACTATACTTTTTTAGTTTCTGTTATGATTTGAGTGTGAAATGCCCTTCATGTGTACATACGACTGAACATTTATTCACTAGCTGATGGCTTGCAATATTTCCAGATACTGTAGAATCTTGAGGAGGGAGAGTCTAATGGGAGAAAGTACATCATTGGATGTGGTTTCTAAGGTTTTATGGTGTCATTCCACTTCCTGAGTTGCCTCTGTTTCCTTGACTGTGGTAATTTGAGGAGTCCCAGCCCTATGCTTTTATCACAGTGAATTCCAGGATGCCTTTACTTTAATGATAAACAGCACCCCCCAAAACCATGAAGTAAAGAAGAAGTCAAGGTTTCACTATTTGCAGATGATATGAGAGTTTGCATAAGTGACCCGAAAAACTCTGCAAGGGAACTCCTACAGCTGATAAACACCTTCAGCAAAGTGGCAGGATACAAGGTTAACTTAAAAAAATCAGTAGCCCTATTATATACAGATGATAAAGTGGCTGAGAAAGAAATCAGAGAAACATCACCCTTTACAATAGCCATAAACAGCATCAAATATGTGGGGATAATGCTAACCAAAGAAGTGAAAGATCTGTATATCAAGATCTTTCAGTCTCTAAAGAAAGAAATCAAAAGGATACTAGAAAATGGAAATATCTCCCATGCTCTTGAATTGGTAGGATTAACATAGTAAAAATGGCAATCTTGCCAAAAGCAATCTACAGATTCAATGCAATCCCTATCAAAATACCAGCACAATTTTTCACTGACCTCGAAAGGACAGTCATCAACTTTATGTGGAAAAACAAAAGACCCAGGATAGCCAAGGCAACCCTGTACAATAAAGGAACTTCTGGAGGCATCACCATCCCTGACTTCAAGCTCTATTACAGAGCTATAGTCCTGAAAACAGCTTGGTATTGGCACAAAAGCTGACAGGTAGACCAATCGAATCGAATCAAAGACCCTGATATCAACCCACACACCTTTGAACACCTAATCTTTGACAAAGAAGCTAAAACTATACAATGGAAAAAAGAAAGCATCTTCAACAAATGGTGCTGGAGTAACTGGATACCGGAATGTAAAAGACAACAGGCAGATCCATATCTATCACCATGTACTAAACTTAAGTCCAAATGGATCAAAGACATCAACATCAATCTAGCCACACTGAATGTCTTAGAGGAAAAAGTGGGAAGTATCCTTGAACAAATTGATACAGGAGACTGATTCCTCAACATAACACCAGTAGCATAGACACTGAGATCGACAATTAATAAATTGGACCTCCTGAAACTGAGGAGCTTCTGCAGGGCCAAGGGCACAGTAAACAAGACAAAACGACAACCGACAGAGTGGGAAAAGATATTCACAAACCCCACATCTGACAGAGGTCTGATCTCCAAAATATACAAAGAACTCAAGAAGCAAGTCTCCAGAACACCAAAGGATCCAATTAAAAAATGGGGTACAGAACTGAATAGATTATTTTTGGTTTTACAAGACAGGGTTTCTCTGTATTGTTTTGGAGGCCGTCGGTCCAGCCCGGCCTCGAACTCATGGAGATCTGCCTGCCTCTGCCTCCCGAGTGCTGGGATTAAAGGCATGTGCCACCACTGCCCGGCCTAAATAGATAATTCTTAATAGAGGAGTCCAAAATGGCTAAAAGATATTTGAGAAAGTGCTCATCATCTTTAGCCATTAGGGAAATGCAAATCAAAACAACTCTGAGATACCTTCTCACTCCTGTCAGAATGGCTAAAAGTGAAAACACTAATGACAGTTTATGCTGGAGAGGTTGTGTAGAAAGGAGTACACTCCTCCACTGCTGGTGGGAATGCCAACTTTTGCAGCCATTTTGGAGATCAGTATGGAGATTCCTTAGAAAAATGGAAACCAGTCTACCACAAGATCCAGCAATTCCACTCTTAGGCACATACCCAAAATATGTACCCTCATACAATAAGGACATCTGCTCAACTATGTTCATAGCAGCATTATTTCTAATAGCCAGAACCTGGAAAGAACCTAGATGCCCCTCAACTGAAGAGTGGATAGAGAAAATGTGGTACATTTCCACAATGGATTATTACTCAGCAGAAAAAAAATGGAATCTTGAAATTTGCAGACAAATGGGTGGCAGCCCACAATCCCACCGCCAGAGAGTCTGGGGTGCGGGAGGACCCTAAGAGAGATATGCATGATAACCCGGAGAAGTGTTATGGGATGCGATCTCCTAATTAGATTGGGGAGGGGGAGAAGAGGAGGGCAGAAGGAGATCAGAGAAAGAAAGGGAGAGAAGAGGAGGAGAGAGGATAACACAGCAGAGCAGGAAGGTTGAGCCAGGGTAAGAATAGAGGAGAATGGATAGGAGATACCATAAAAGAGGGAGCCATTATAAGTTGGAGGAGAGATCTGGCAATAGTGAGATCTTCACAGATCTACAGGAATGACACCAACTGGCATTGAGGCTACCTTAAATGCCCTCCCATGATGGTGAGAATGACTGCCTTATATGACATCCTAGAACTCTCAGTGGCTGATGGAGACAGAGGCAGACACCTACATCTGTGA